GGCGCTACAGAGTGAAAACAAATGAAATAAAACCCGTTTCGGTCCTCCTGCTGGCAGCTGGTCCAGAGCAAGGGGTGATACCAGTGTCATCCAACAAATGTCCCGAATCGATTCCCACCCCCCACAGGCTCCGAAAAAACGGCGCGTAGGTCCATTTTAGGCTCGGCATCAATAGCTGAGCCAAGTACTGGTGATTTGAGGATGTGCATTGCCTATAGGGGCCTCAATGCCATCACCGTTAAGAACGTGGAGCCCCTACCCCGCATCGACGACCTATTGGATAGAGTGCTGGGATGCCGATACTTCAGTAAGATAGATCTAAAGTCTAGATACCATCAAATTGCCATTAGACCTGAGGACCAACACAAAACCGCTTTTCAGACCAGGTACGGTCTGTACGAGTTTATGGTGATGCCCTTTGGCCTATGCAATGCCCCTAGGACATTCCAGCACGCCATGAATAGGATACTTCATGAGTACTTAGACAAGTTTATCGTCGTGTACCTCGACGATATCCTTATCTTTAGTAAGATTGTAGAGGAGCACGCTGAGCACTTGAAAATAGTGCTAGGTCTCCTAAGACAGCACCAGTACAAGGTAAACTTGGAGAAATGCAAGTTCGGTCGCACCAAGCTCTTGTACTTGGGTCATGAAATCTTCGCGGATGGTTTGAGGCCGGACGATGCCAAAGTGGCCAGCATACGAGACTAGCCCAGATTTCAGACTATTACTGAGGTACGATCGTTTTGGGGGATGACGGACTACTATCGTCCGTTTGTTAAAAACTATAGCACTATAGCTTCCCCATTAACAGATCTAACTCGACTCGATACCCCTTGGGAGTGGACTGAAGAGTGTGAAGCGGCCTTCAAGAAATTGAAGTACGCGTTGACGCACTACGAAGTCCTCAAACTTTCAGATCCTGAGCAGGCCTTTCTTGTGACCACAGACGCCAGCCAATACAGCATAGGCGAGGTCCTTGCGCAAAAGGAGGGGAAGAAGTTGAGACCGATCGAGTATATGAGTAAGATGCCGTCTCAAAAGCTAGCAAAGTCGGATGAGTGTGAGCTCTATGCCCTATATAGAGCGCTGGTCCACTGGAGGCACTATCTCCTAGGCAAATTCTTTTACTTGAGATCTGACCAGGAAACATTGTGCTGGATCAAGATACAGCCTGTGCTCTCTGGCGCACTCAAGCGGTGGATTCAAGTGATAGACATGTATGACTATCAACTTGATCCAATCAAGGGAGAGTACAACAAAGTGGCTGATGCACTATCTCGTCGGGCAGACTATCTGGGCGCGCTAGTCACTGAATTTGGCATATTCGATGATCTAACTCGATCTTTGGTGGAGGCCTATCAGCAAGATCCAGTTATGTCTTGAGATCATTCGTAGATTTCAAGAGAAGGACAAGTTAACTTCTGAAGGCTTACTGTTTCTTGAAAAGGTGGGGAATAAAAGGTTGTTTGTCCCAGATAGAGAGTCTAGTTTGTTCTTAGGAGAATGTCATGATGCAACTGGTCATTTCGGCTATAAGAAGACGTCAGCTAACCTAGTACATAGATTTTGGTGGCCCACTATGATGAAAGATGCAGAAAGGTACGTCATTTCGGCTATAAGAAGACATCAGCTAACGTAGTACATAGATTTTGGTAGCCCACTATGATGAAAGATGCAGAAAGGTACGTTGAGACCTGCCAGGTTTGCCAACGGGACAAACCTGGGACTCAGGCTCCGCTTGGGCTAATTAAGCCCTTGCCGATTCCTGAAGGTCCTTGTCAAAGTGTGTCCATGGACTTCATGGATACTCTTGTGACCAGCAGGAGTGGGAAGAGATATCTTTGTTATAGTTGACCGCTTCTCCAAGTATGCCAGACTAATAGCTATGCTAGAGACCGCTAAGACTGATTATGTCATCAGACTATTTATGAACAACTGGGTACGGGACTTTGGTTTACCTAAGTTCCATAATCAATGATAGGGATGTTCGCTTTACTAGCGAACTGTAGCAAAACACTGCCCAACAGATGGGAACCAGACTGCAAATGACATCAGGGAAACACCCGGAGTCAAATGGACAGGCAGAACAAATCAACCGAGTAGTGCAGCACTTGCTTAGGCACTACATCAAGCCAAGCCAAGATGACTGGGACGAGAAACTACCTCTTGTCGCCAGCCTGTACAACAACGCTGTGCACATCGCTACTGGCATGACTCCCAACCAACTGCATCCTGGTTGGAAGCCTCGTTCCACCCTTGATTTCCTACTGCCTAAGAACCAGGCAACTGCAGCACCAGGCAACTGCAGCACCAGGCAACTGCAGCACCAGGCAGTGTAGAATTTGCTGTCAAATACTAACAGATGCTGCAACAGGCCGTTGAGCACATTAGGAAATCTCAAGATGCTATGATTGCATCTGAGAAGAAACACAGACGGCCTTCTAACTTTCAGGTAGGAGACAGGGTCTGGGTAAAGTCATCTGAACTGGGACAGGAAATGGGAATATCTAGAAAACTAATGCCACAGTATTTCGGTCCCTTGGAGATCCTAGACATAGTCGGGGATCAGATGGACGGACCCTCCTATGTGATTTACGTCCCTCCTATGTGATTTACGTCCCTGCTCATTTACGTACACACCCAGTTTTTCAGCCTTCAAAGCTGGCACCTTTCGCAGAAACTGCACAGTTTCCCTCCAGACGATCAATGCTGCCCCCAACCATGGATGGTGAAGTCGACATCGAGGGAGTCGTGGAGCATCGAGTGATGCCAATGCCTAAACCGCTGGGCAGAGGTCGCCCTCCTAAGCCGAGAATGCAATACCGTGTCAGATTCAGACATCATCTGGATCCCAAGGAAGATCGGTGGTTCACCAGAGAAGAACTGATGAGAACAGCACCTCAAGTTATCGCAGACTACGAAAGAGAACTTAAGGGGAAGATGCTTGCAGATTAGAAGACTTCTCAGACTATCGAAGAAAAGGAGGAGGGAATGCGAGGATCTGGGTCCTCGGCAGGCCTAAGGGGCCCTGTTGCAAATGTGCCCGTCCTAAGTGAAGGCGGGCCTAACAAATCATGAGAGGCCCTCAGCTGTCAATTTCGTATTTGGGGTCGAGGGAAACACAGTCCGAGCTGCAAAGACATTCCACAGCCTTCCAGGCTTTTCCGAGAAACGCAGGCCCTGGGCGAGAATCGCAGCCTCATACACAGACAGTTGGGAGGCCCAACTGAACGAGGCCCAGTGGCTGCAACAGAGGTGCAGCCTCCCGGGGCCTACCGGAAGCTTCTGGGTCGAGGCCCAGGCCAGCCAGGCCGCGAAGGCAGGCAGGCTCTTTCCATATAGGAAAGAGCTCGCTGCCTGGCCTCTCATTCAGCACTTGCATGCTGGCGGCAGCGCTGCTGGAGCAGACGCCCGTGGGCTGCTGCTAGCACTGAGAGGCAAGGTGCTAGCGCGTGCGGTCGTGCAGGAAGCAGGGTGCTGCTGAGGGCAGCGCCATAGCCCAACCTCCATAGCTGGATGGGCTTGGACTACAGTGAGGCGCAGGGGTGGTCTTCTGCTGTACAGAGGGAAGACGTGGCAGTAAGACGGGAGAGAGAGAAGGATGATGATGATGATGATGTGATGGCACATACCTGGTATTGGCGATGGTCTGCATGGGCGACATCTTCAAGTACCTCGTAGGCTGCTGACATCAACAGTTGCATTGTCAATTAGTAGGCAGACAGTAGCTGTGTAGGAAGTAGGCTGGGCGCCGCCAAGTAGGGACATAGGGCCAAGTAGGGACATAGGGCCAAGTAGGGACATAGGGCCTGGACACTCGTGTTGGTGGTGGCGAAGCTCTCATTGACGTTGGTTTTCAGTGTTACGAATCTTCATTGGTGTTAAATTGGTGCATTTCTGCTTTCTGGACACTGTGATACTATCTGGCCTTCAACGTGATTGTGCATTCTGGTTATTGTCATCTCGCTATTGCTCATTTTCCTTGCACTTGCAGCTTTCAAAGGAATAATAAAGACTGACCACCCCCGCTATTACTTAGTGGTAGATTATTTTATTTTCTTTAAGAATATTATCTTAACCTTCATCATCCATAGTTATGGTTGTACAAAATAAACTCAATTAGATTCTATCGTCGCAATAAGTACCCCAGTCTTTGTCTAAAGCGCACGCATCTTACCATAACTATTTTCTGTTCTTCATTTTTCTTTTATGGGGGGGGGAAGGCCGGCGGCCTTGAGATATCATCGTTGAACTGACCGCCCGCAGGTAATTCAGAATTTATGTTATTCTGGGCATCTGATTGTATCTGGGGTCGAACTTGGGTCTGATTCATATTTCAACAGGTTATGGGTGTACCAACTGATCTAGGCTCCTTGGTACTCCTTGGTACGTCTTACCATAATAATTCTTTTCAAGCGAGGCCTTGTAAATCCTGGTATGGAATTTTAAGACAAACCTCTCCACTGAAGTCCACGGATACATTCTACTCATATTTCAATTTTATATATTATATAACCTATATAGGACAACTTCTCTAGTCAAAAACTTTGCGACAGTTAAAAACCTCACAACCGCGCACGCACACAGACATGCACACACACACGATCCAACGTATCAAAGCAAAAGAGAAATAGATGGATGGATGGACAGATGAACGGATGGAAGACACATAATCCAACGTGTCAAAGCATATGATGGATGCATGGACACACACACACACACACACACTCTGCTGATGGGTCGGTGAAAGTCCGACGAAACAGTCTGGCACAGTCATGTTTTTTTTTAGTCTATAGAAAATATGACAACACACACCGGTGAAAGTTCGCCGAAACAATCAGGCATAGTCGTGGCTTTTCTGTGAAGTTGTGAGCAGCGAAAATGACAACACACACACACACACACACACACACAAAAAAAAAAAAAAAAAAAAAAAAAAAATCCAACTTGTCAAAGGATATGATAGATGGATGGATGGAAGGATGGATAGGACATACCTACAGAGACGGGGTACTCGAAGTTCTCCGCAGCTGGGTCGAAGTTGACAATATGAACGACGCGACCTATGCTCTGGCAATGCTGGTACAAATTTGCACAGTACGTAGACTGCAACCAATCAACACATCAATCAACACATCAATCAACACATCAATCAACAAATCAATAAACCAATCAACACACAAATCAGCGAGTCAATCAATCGACCAATCAACGAAGTAGCCAATCAAGCAAGCAAAGCAAAACTGAAAAGGTCGCAGGAAATGCAGAACCAACTAGTCGATCAATCAATCAATCAATCAATCAATCAACCAACAAACCAACCAACCAACCAACCAACCAACCAACCAACCAATGAAACCACCACTACCTTTTGTCACTGGACGCCATGTCGCAAAAGTAACCTAACCAACCCCCAAAAAATAGGCACCGGGCGGCCGCTGATATTTTTCATTGGCGGCTCCCGGCCTCCGAATTCGAATTTCGAGGCCCGCCACCGAAACGCTAACGGTAGTGGTGGTTTAAAAAAAAAAAAAAAAAAAAGGAGCCAACTAATTCACAAAGGACGAAGCAACCCAAAATCGCATATTGTGCCCAGAGCATCAGAAACTAATCTAATCATTCATCAACAAACCAAGATCGTCTAAAGTGCACAAAGCAGGAGAGAGAGAGAGAGAGAGAGAGAGAGAGAGAGATCAACCAATCAATCTTCTACTCCCCCTATCCATCAATGAATATATCAACGTCACCTTTTATTTTCAGCTCGGTCGATAATCGAAAAAAAACATATCATCGTGCAGAAAGGAGTGGGACCAATCGAACACCTTTTTTTTTTTTTTTTTGCTTCCACTTCCCCTTCCCTGTTAGCTTTCTTCGCAAGGACAGCAACACACCGTCACCGTCGATCCTGTTTGCGGTTAAATCAGAGCTCCAACCGAGAGAGACAGAGAGAGAGAGAGAGAGGAGAGAGCTGGGGAAAGAGAGAGGCAGAAAAGAGGCAGAGGAAGAGACAAAGGCCAAGTAAGAAAGACAAAGGTCAGGAAGAA